GAGAAACTTCTCAGAAGGTTGGCCACCCTAATTCAGTACCAACATGTTTGAAGAAACAAGGTTTCCAATCCAAGCTTTTGAGAACTAAACCCTCAAAGCCTTGAGGTAGGATGGACAAATGTGACTTCTGGTGTGTGTGTGTGTAGAGAGAGAGAGAGTTCATCCTATTGTGAGTAGAAAACAATATGAAAATTTTGAGGAATTTTTGTAAGAATAAACCAATAGTCTCCCTGTCTTCTCCTTCCATTAGTATCTCTCAAGACAATGGAAATCTGTCTCCTTTAAGGAGCCCCAAGCAGTCCTATTGATGGTTCATAGGCTCTGAGGACTAACTTGTACACTGAAAAGAAACACAAAAAATAGTACCATGGCTTTAGCCACTGTTGTTGTGTGCCTTCATGATGTTTCCAACTTATGGAGACCCTTAAAAGATCCTATTATGAGATTTTCCTGGCAAGATAAGGTCAGAAGGGGATTTGTCAGGCAGAGAAAAGGAGATTTGCTCAAGGTCATCCCAGTTTTCAGACTTTCTTGCAATGGGAAGAAAATTTCTGGAATTACTCATTCCTTCCTTTGAGAACAAAATTAAAAAAAAACAATATCACTAGTATAAAAAAGGTGAAGCAGAATATCATTCATTTCAGTTCAGTTCATTACAATTCATCCGCACAAACAGACGTTATACAGTATCATCAACAAAACTCCAGAAACATGCAATTGTCCATTATTCCCCAGTTCCCACTTGACAGACCAAGTGTGACAATATTCTACTTTGATGTCTAAGGATAAAGAAAACAAAAGGGAAGATGAGACTGTTCAGCAGTGCTTAAAGATACAACTATTTCATAGAAAGTATAATACATGGAATGAATTACAATGTCCAGAGTCGCTATGTTCATTGTTGTATTATTGAAAAAAGAAATCATTTAATTAGAGCTTTAAATAATTAAATAAACCTCTTAACCACAATGACATTGAAAGTACCTGAAAACACTGGTTTTCATGGATTTTGACTGCAGCATGTCTGTCTTTTGTCATGCTGCAATTTGAACATGCCTAAATGAATTAACTTCAAGTGCCAACCAGGAAGAGGTCATGTTGTTTTAATCTGGTGTCAAGGACCAGATTCAAAATTATAAAACAAACTATACCCTAGATAGATAACATTTGAGGAAAACATGCATCTATTTATTTTATTATATTTCCAATATATCCTAGTTATCCTACAATGATAATTTGGATTATAATCTTAATAATGCACATGCACTAAAATTTTAATAATCATTATCATAATTTTGTTTATTTCTGCTAGAATAAGCACACATTTCTGTAGAAATTGACAACAGAGGTAAATTAATGACAAAGACTGATAAGTGGAAAAATAAAGGGTAAAAAACACATTTGATTGTCCTTATGTGTAACATAAATGCTCTGAACACAAAGCTACTATCACAACATAATATGAAAAAAATGGTTTCCCATTGGCAAAGGGATCAGATGAAAACCTGCATTTTGTCATCTTATCTTTTTAATTGAAATAGAGTGTATAGATTATGGAATGCAGGAGTTGGGTATGAAAACTGGAAGAAGAACCATCAATAATTTAAGACTAACTATATAGCACCATATTACCTGGAGGAAATAGGAAAGACCTGGAATGACTGTTGAGGAAATTTAAATAACAAAGTACAAAAGCAGGGTTACAGCTGAATACACATACATGCACACACACACAAACACACAGTGGCTACAAATGATTGACATAACTTTAAAGTGGGTACTGGAGACTTAGAAATTGTTATAGATTTTCTATGCCTTACCTCAGAGCCTATCTAAATGAAGCACAAAAATGGAGGCTGCTGTGCTTCAGACCAGATCGGGATTCTGCAAGCTACTCCCAGACTACAGCAGTGGTAGGAAAGAAATCCAGACTGTTCATTAAGGTTGAACTCAGTTCAGCTCCACTGGACCATCACCTTTACCTGTGTCATTTGTTGTTGCCACAGCTATGGCCACAGAGCTCTAGGCTGCCGGTAAAAGTGACCTTGTGATTTGAAGAGAGGAGGGGGATCTCCCCCTTCTCTCTCCAAGTCAGACTGGCACCTCTGCTGACATTGGCAAAGACACCCACTAATGGCCAGGAGCTCTGTGGCTGCCATGGCAGCAACAAAAATGACACAGATAAGTGTCATCTCCTTTTCCCCACATCACAAAGCATTATATAAGTAGGATGGTGGCAGTGACCTTTGTGAACAATTCAGCTGGTTCCAAACAAAAAATGGCTCCACTGTTCACCCCCTCCTCCAAAGTCAAACTCATTCATGTCATAATATTTCTGATTCCTACATGTATTTCTGAAAGCTAGACAATGAAAAAAATGAAAGAAAATCAACTAATCAGAATGTGGTGCTGGAAAAAAATCTTATAGTTACCACTGATTGTTACAAACACAAATAAATCAATCCTTAAGAAATCAGGGCCCTTTGACACAGCCCTATACCCCAAAATATTATTATTATTATTATTATTATTATTATTATTATTATTATTATTATTATTAAACTTTATTTATACCCCACCACCATCTCCTTCAGGGACTCGGGGCGGCTAACACGAGGCCAAGCCCAACAAATACAATAAACAAAATAAAATAGAGTAGATAATAACTCAAATAAAATACAAACAAGGAAAAAGGAAAAGGAAAAATAACACAAAAAATAACACTGGATATAAGGCAGGTGAAAAGTAAAAACAAAAAGTTGAACAAGGTGGTCTGGGCCAAATGCAAGGATAAGAATTGTGTGTTTGCCTTACACATCTGAACTTTGTGGCATTTAACACAACCTTGTCCTTGTCCTGTGCCATGCTCTGGAGCTCACTTACACTTTGGTCATATATAAATGATTAGGCCAGTTCTGATTCATAACCAGCCACCACTGTTTACATGCCATTCCATTTTCCTTAGGTTTGGGTGGGCCAGGGACTGGGACGGCACTTACCATCACCTTCCTGTTCCAACTGTAGTAGTGTCAATGGGGTGCAAAATTTGCTTGTGATTATCACTCGTCACTAATTCTGCTGCTGGCTGAAGTGCGAGTGAACTCAGAAAGATGAAGGTGGAAAGAAGGGGGGGCATGAAATCTAAGTGGTGTGTAATTGTTCGTGCCACCCTAGTGGTGCAGACACCCTTCTACCACTAGAGTAGCTTGGAAGCTGGCTATGCAAACAGCCCTAGGCTGATCCAGAGTAAGTGCCTTGTGTCTTTGACTCAGGAGAAAAGTGCATAATTTAATTATCTATGCTGAAAAATTGCCGAACAATTAGAATTCCTATTGGCTTAAAAATGAATAGAATTAACGTTCTTCTGTTAACTGATAAAACCATTTGTTTCAGTCTTATTCTGTGCTAATTTACTGTCTGTATAAATTTTCCAGTGAATTTCTGCATTAATACATTTGCACACATTTTCCAGAATAATTATACAGAAATAAAGTTATAAAATGAGGAAACTTTGTATTAAATTCACAGTATAGTCTAGTAATACTAAGTCATTGTAAAATTTCTATTTGTAATTTGTTTTGGTGTATTATTTTTGAAAAAATTCCCTTGTTGACTAAAATCTGCACCCTGAGCACATTTGCTGGAACCTAGCCATGTTAATTATCTACTTGCTTTTATGTTAGCTTTCTCCTGTGAAGAGCAAAAGCTATTAAAAGGCAACCAAACTGGTGCTTCATAAAAGAGGTATGTGATCACCCTAGCTATAGAAGGGCCCGTGGACAGACACCAGTAATATATATGTTTAGACTATAAAATTAATTTAATTTAATGTATTATTTTCCATTAGATCAATAAGAAAGTAAATGAAACCAAAGGCATTCACATTAGTCACTGATTTTTTGGGAAGGATGGGACCTCAACTTTGATTTTTCTCATTCTCAGGTTGTCAGCACCAGCTTTATTAAATCCTTTTATCTGACCTCTATTAAACTTGCCTCATCTTACATGACTTTCCTTCTTTCTAGAAAGGTAGAGTTCTATTCTTTATGGGAGATTAATGGATTTCATCCTAAAAATGAGCAACCCTACTTTCCAAACAGCTCAGTTCCACAAAGTTTGAGAGCCCTGCAGAGCAAAATAATTTGAATCCAAGTTGTCATGCTTTTAAAGGCATCCTTATGGTTTTCATAGTGAAAAATATGTTATTGAATCAATTCAGAAATGTTACTGGAAGGCAGGTTATTAAAACAAGACCGATAGTATCCCGACCGGATGTTATCATTGTTATCATTGTAGGAAGATGGCCTAGCACAATTTCTGTATTTTTATCCTATCATGTAGATAAGTAAAATCAAAACTAGAAGAATATGAAATACAAAGAACATGGGCTGAGTATAAAACCATGAATGGAAGAACTACAAACCAGATACCTCTGAATGCTTCCTTTTTAAAACATACAAATAAACACAAAGGTTTCTAAAAAGAAATGAACTGTTTGATACTTTTTTGATGGCTTTCATGCACTATAGTGTACTATAAGAAAATGTGTGAATTATACATATGATTTCATTTCTATTTGGTATGTTCTCTGATCTACGTTGTTACTTTGTTGGATGAATTCACTTTTTTTTAAAAAAAATGGCCATTGTACATTGTTTATATCAATTATTTTAGCAGACCGTTTTGAATTTATCTGTGCAGATATATGTGAATATATCATGGAAAATCAGTACTTTATCTTATGCATTTTACTTTTGTTGTCCTCAAATGCTTTTTAAAAATGGAGATCAGAGAACCTCACAACCTTTAACCTAACAAGACATCTCTGGCATCTTTTCTACCCCATCCCAGCTTGTAAATAAACACATGTTAATATTAAACTGTTACATAATATTAGCTTTATTTAAAGAGCAGTTTATTCTTTGTTTCAGGTTCCTCATACAATCCATAGATATATGTACAGAAATTTAGTAATTAGTGTAATGAAAGAAAAAAAATACCTGGTCAAGCTTCCAATGAAATTCTGCAGGACGGAAGGTGTCAGCTTGATCAAAATCCTTTCGCAGCAGAAATACAAGTCGACAATTGTGCACATATAGTGCATAATGGTGCCGATTCATTTCTAAAAAAAAAAAAAAGATATATTAACAAAATGTATCTCAGTATGTTGCATGAACTATTAAAATGAAATTTGAATTCAATTTTTATCACATTCTGAAGTGAATTCCCATCAATTATTTAATATCAAATTCACCTAGAAGTCAGTTATTGTGATTGAATACAAAACATGTCTCAATACTGGTTTTTACCCAGCATGTTCAATCTGGAAGAAGGAAGAAGAAAAGGTACTTTCACCACAATTTAAAATAAAGTTGACTCACCTGTCTTATCTGAATTGCACAAAATAGTTTCTTTCTCTGCTCTTAAACCTGGACTTGGACCATGTTTCATCCACATAGTGATGGTAAATTGATCAGTTAAATTTTTTGGTACTATTCCATCAGGGATTTTGGCTCCTTGTTTTCCATCGAATTTAAAAATCATGTCATTGCTGTCTATCAGAAGACCAGCTGTCCAGTTAGTTGCTGCACTGGGAGTTGGTAACAAGTCAATGACACCTGATGATGCTCCTGCAGATGATATATAATGAACAGCCTGATGAGACACTAATGAGAAAGCTGTTCACCTGAATTCACTGTCGGAGAGATGGTGCCACACTTAATCACTATCATTTATTATTAACACACTCTTTGTTTTTAGTTCTACAGTACTGATAGAATATACTGCCACTGCAACCATAATATCATACATACTAATAAACCATTGAGGAAAGAGCTCTTGTTTCTGCTGAAGTTGGCAATAATTCAGGGCCAGAGCTCACCTTTGTGCTATCAAATGCCATATAAAATGACCACCTAAAAATGACAGAGGGACATCAAAACAGACAGACACTTTAGAAAGTCACTTATAGTGAATTCAACAATAGTGGACCTAGTGAACCAATAGTGAGACATCATAAAGCTTGCATATACCTAAAGAGAAATGTACAATAAAATACAGAATTTGTGCTTTCCCTCTCACAAATACTAGGGAGAATTTTGTGCAAAATTGCTATTTCTTGTATAATGCACATGCACCATTTTTGACAAAAATGTGTATCTGAAAAAGTGATTTTTCTGCATGAAAAATGGGGGGGGAGGGGTTGCACAAAATGTAATGATTTGAAGGGAAAATCCCACGTGTAATTTCCCAAAATGCTGCAGAATTTGTAAATATCACCTCACCATGTACAAATCTATTATTATTTCTACTTAGGTCTCCCAAACCATTTTGAAGGCCAAGAAACAAAACAAAAAAAAAAGGTAGACATTTCCTTCTCTCTTTATCTAATATGTCATGGATATCTGCACTGGATATCAGTGTTGTTTCTGGAAGGCTATCTACTTTTAAAAACTGATAGGGGGAATAATTCACCAACTTGCATTTCATGAGTGTGGAATCCTACTGAAAAGTACTGATTCACCCAGATGATGTGTGTAATCTATAACTTAAAAGATTTATTTAAATTTTTATTTTGCAAAAAAATTTTTTAGAGAAAGTTTATTCCTCTAATTTGAATAAGCAAAGATGTGCACATCAACAAATACTTCCAGAAACACTTAAAGGAGTTTGTAGGTCTGGATATTTATCTTTCTTACCCTCAGGAATCACCAACAAATCATTTAATTACAACCTAATTGCAATCTTTGACAGCATTGGTGGGAAGTCTATTTTCAAAAAGCTCTCTGCAAACAATCATTTCAAACCATACCTCTGGCAAGAGCAATCCGTCCTTTTCTCAGAAAGCTGGGGGAAATGCATACTGTGTCACAGTATAGGAATGACAGAGAAAGTCATACCTATTTTGGCTCTGGTCCTGCACCCTGCTGCCATAAACCTCATCAAATTATCTTTCCAAGAATGTGAAACTCATCAGGAAAAAAATAATCCTTCTCATTTTATAGATAAATATTAGCATTTCTAATGTGAATGTGTAAATACCCTGAATTAGAAATTAACGACTTTCAATTCTAAACACATACCACATAATTTTTGAAGTGATTTTTCAGAGTATGTTTCTCGATCACAGCCCCTTCCAATATAGTTTGTCTGCAGCTCAATAGTAGTTTGGATAGAAGAAACGGGTCCATCACAAGTCTCCAGATGAATGCTAGGAAATAATGGTATACTCCCAGAACCTGGCTTGTACTCAATGCGTTTATTCCAGTCTAGAAAAAAGAACATGATTGCTACATATAAAATGGTTTCATTCAGACTAGAATCCTTTATATTTTATGCATTTTGCAAGCAGAAAAAGATATCCAAACCAAAAACAACCCCAAACCCTCACCTTGACATTTAGCAAATGAAATACTTCCATTGATTCCATAAGGATATATTTTCTTAAGTAGTAAAAACATAGCAAACAGAACTGGACAGACAGTAGCAAGCAAATGTAAAAAAAATCAAGGCAAAATTATAAATAAACATTGAATTCCAGTATATTCAATATAATGATTATCCTACTAGACATTTCTGTGGGTGTTGTTCTAAAAACAGCTTCTGCGGGGATGTCCTAGCATGACCTTAACTGGATCACAAGCCATCATATATATTTTCCATCATGATTCACATTCTGCATCCATTTCTACAAAGCCTTTGGCACATTGAGTCTATCCTCCTTGTCATGCATAATATACTGTACTTTTGCATGTAAGAGCAGGACTGCTTCACACATTCACCAAACTTTTGGCCAGTGCATGGATCACAACCAATTCATGTACCCTTGCAACCCTCAATATTGTGTGAGAAAAGGGAAAACATTATTGGAGAAATAGCACCTTATAGAGATTTCTTATTAGATTTATCTTGGCTTCCTCTCCTTTTCTCCTCACTGTCAAAAAATAGGCCACAATATTAAGATTTTTTTGATTTCTGTGATGTGTTGCGCATATAGAAACCTCTTATGTAGACCAAATGCATTAATAAAAGCTGCATTCTAGAATGCTGCTCATCATATTTTGAATATGCATAGAATTTGCAGCTCTTTACTGCTGGTAGCTGCCAGGAGCCCCTGGTGGCACAATGGGTTACACCACTGAGTTGGCAGGACTGAGCTCCCTCTGTCATCTCCAGCTTCCCATGCGGGGACACCAGAGAAATCTCCCACAGGACGGTAAAACATCAAACATCTGGGTGTCCCCTGGGCAACATCCTCACAGCCAGCTAATTCTCTCACACCAGAAGTGACTTGCAGATTTTTCAGGTCGCTCCTGACACACATACACACACATACACAACCTAGTGGAAACCAGCTTTTAAACCTGATCCCAAACCTAGAACTTAGAAAATTACTTTTTGAAAGCAATTTACTAAATATTTCCTGACAATATCCCAAGCATAGCTCATTGTCATTGATCTTCTATTTCAACTTTCCTTGTAACTGCAAGGAAACTGCTTCAGAGTTAAACTAGCACCTTTTGCCAGGTGTCATGGCCAGCAGTCTGTCTGGCCTGGCTCAGCTACTGTTGAGCTGGGCCAGACAGGGGCAGGTCTCCAGCAGACACGGACACTTCCTAGTATTTTCAGCAAGCTCAGGAAAGGTTAATCATACCTCATCCTTTGAAACAAGGAAAGTATCACAGGCCTCAGTAATTAGAGGTGGAAGCTTCATGAGATGAGCTCCAGCTGAGACCTCAAATAAAAAGGCCCTGGTGGTGTGGCTCTAAATAAGATACAACTTCATATTCTTGCTCCAGATTTTGGTTCTGTTGCCTTCCAGTTTGTTTTCCTGAATTTCTGACTTTTGACTTCAGTTTGAATATGGCTTTCTTTATTAATGAACTCTGGTCTTTGGCTTATCTTCTTATTGTTTGTTTAAATCTCAGCCCTGATATCAGGACTCATAACTCGACACTGGTAATGGACGGGATATGTGTAAAAAACCCAAAACTTAATCCAGGCAAAACAGAAATGCTCCTGATCAACCAAAAACCTGATCAAGGAATAGAGATTCACCCTGTGCTGAATGAGACGACACTATTTCTGAAATCTCAAGTTGGCCATTTGGATATGCTCCCAGATTCAGATGTGAGCCTAGATGTTCTGTTTTTTGTAGTGGCTAGGAAAGTGTTTGAACAATTGAATCTAGCCTGCCTGTTTCCAAACATGGTTATCATGACTCATGTTTTAATTATATCCTGTTTGGATTACTCTAATACACTACATTTAGAGCTGCATTTGGAAAACATTTTAAAAAGTACAGACTCCTCAATGGGGTTGGGTACAATGAACACATACTCTCATATTGGAACAGTTTTAGTGGCTACTGCTTCATTTCCAGGTTCAATTCAGAGTTCAAGTCATGATCTTTAAAGCTTTGATTCAATTCTGGCTTTTCTTCTAGAATTTGGTGAGAACAAGGGAGAGACCTTACCAATGACTGTTTTACCACCCTTGTGGGAGACTTCTTTCATCTCCCGCATGAGGAGCTGGAGCTGACAGAGTGAACTCATCCGTGCTCTCCCCAGATTCAAATCTCCAATGTATCGGTCTTCAGTCCTGCTGGCACAAGAGTTTAACCCATTACGCCACCAGGGTATCCAATCTTCACAGGTAATAGGTCCTGAAACATTGCTCCCTCTTAAAGCCAATACTTGTCGTTAACAAAGGACAATAATTTTCACAACTGGCAGAAATTTCTTTCTGTTTTCTTCTGCCTTCTTATTTCCTTTATCATGATGATTGGTTACATCAAGATGTTTTCCAATGTGAATAAGCACAGGACATCTGTGGATTTTGCAGTAACTGAGCTTTTACTTGATCATCATATGAAGTCCAAGGTTTAACAATGACACAGCTTCTTGTCTTTGCTCCTGTTCCATGGTTTCTTTGGCAGGGCTTGGATTAGGTGAACCAGTGGTAGACACATCAGTTTTTACAGTTTCCTCAGTTTTCATCTGCAATCCAGGTGTGCATGTTCTGGGGTCTTCAACAGTACCAGCTACTACAAAGGTTCCCAGTACTCTGCCTTTTTGATCTTCAATATTTGGCTTTTTCTTTTTACCATGAACTCAAAAACATTCAGTTGCTTTGAACTTCTGGAATCAGGTGGATGAAAGGAAACACTAACAGCAACTAACAGGGCTTTAAGTCTCAGAAAAGCAACTCAAGCTAACAAACAATTACGTAGTAAGACAGCTATGTTTGGAATGACCCACATCTACTTTCATGTCTTCCTTTTATACCTCAGTGAAAGGAGCAAGAAGGTGGATGTAAGGGAGAGCTCTGAAAGGGAGATGAGCAAGAGAGCGCTGATGTGACTACTTTCAGATGTTTTAAAACTATTAAAGATAATTACATGGGGTAAAAACAAATAAAATTACATAATAAAACCTATAATGTGTTCAAAGTTCACCAAAATGTTGATTAGAATCAGAGATAAAACATTTTGAAAGATCTCATACATATATTTTCACTTTAAATTAAAATATCTAGAAATAAAAAGATCTATGACCCACAGATATTACATTTTTAGAAACTACATTAAATTACCTTTAATATGGCACCTATTTATTCAAAAACACTTGATAGTTTCAGAGAAATTAAAGTATAAACTTTTAAAGCACAAAATATCATAGTTTTTATGTACCTGGAAAAATCATTAATTGTATTTCAACTTAATTTTTTTAATGGAGTTTAACCTAGAGAGTCTGATTCTGATGTCAGGTTCAATGGAGTACGTCATCTTCATGTCATAAATGTTGATTAAACATCCATGACATCAAAACTTGGTCACTTCCACTATGTCTTGCAATTGCAATGTAAATTGGTGGAATGGTAGGTGATGACAGTGTGAATAAATTGTCGAAATGTGCTTGAGATAGTGCTAGCAATTCTGGATTTTTTGCTCCTAGTAGACTTAGCATGGGTATTTGGTTAGCCAGTTAAAATTCATGAGTAAACCAGTTTTTTTAAAAAATAAACCTGAAAACCCATAACCCATAAACCACCCACTTGGTTACATGATTGGTTACTGGCATGCAGCACAACCACTTGGGAGCTGGAGGACCCTAGAATATAACAAAATATGAATCTGGAACATGTATTCATGTTCTGAATATGCATGTATGTGAGGATAAGAAGCATAGTATTGAGGTATTCAGGGGACACATTCAACTGCAGACCCCTGAATGCAGCATTGTATACTGCAGGGTTCCTCTAAGTTTTGCCTATCCAACTCTCAGATGACATAATTGACTCTGAGAATGTGGCTTACTTGAAAAGAATACAATGCTATTGCCCCTGCAATTCTGAGAGTGGGGTTGAAAACTTGAATGCAGCCTTGCAATTATTATTTCTTAAATAAATGAAATAGTTCTAAAATTGATCTAAGCAGTAGTAATAGTGGGGGGGGGGGCAAGGAGACCCTTTGTAGCAGGAGCAATTTTTATTCAAATAACTGGCAGCAGTTCCCCACATACATGCTCATATAAATGGACTCGTGATTTGACTCTGTATGGTACTGCTGTAATGTACTTTCAAACTTGCCACTAAAGGCAAAATGAAATAAAATTTAAACAAGAGGTAAAGAGAGAGATAACTAAATGTTGCAACAATAAACGTTATTACCACCACTGCTACATAGCCTCAGAAGTGCTCACATCTGAATTTGTTACATCAGTGGTAACTGCACATCAGCGCAAACAGATCATCTCACACTGTTAGAAGTAATAGTCCTTCTCCTACATGGATTCTTAATTTATACAGGAAAGAAAACTTTCATCAGAGGCATACTATCTGAATAAAAATAAAAAGTGGGAGGAAGGGTTATATAGTAGTATCTTTAAGGATATTTATTATTATTAATCTGGAACTCATTCTGTTTGCAGGTAGCACAAATAACAGATCAATGTACAGATATAACCTTTAATGCACCCCACCTCCCTGTCTCTTGTCTATTTGGGTATTGTCTGATTTTGTATGTTCAATTATGAGCTAAATTATAGGTTCTTGAGTGAATTCTAGTTATAAGTCTAGATTTAAGATGAGAAATAGGAATGCTGAAGAGGCTTTGAATGGCCTGGGAATAAGGGGTGATGTTTTTAAAAACTGAAATATGTTTTAGGTCAGTGTTCAGCTCTAGCACAGTCATGTGGCAGCTACTCACAATTATTCTAGCAGTTAATAAATTGGGGTGGGGAAATAACATTGTTATTTAAGTAGTGGG